GTGGCTGCTGGTCTCCAGGCCTCCAGGGCTTGTGTGGAGTTTGCTGGTGTGTGTGTGTGTGTCGGGGCTTGTGTGGAGTTTGCTGGTGTGTGTGTGTGTGTGTCGGGGCTTGTGTGGAGTTTGCTGGTGTGTGTGTGTGTGTCGGGGCTTGTGTGGAGTTTGCTGGTGTGTGTGTGTGGGGTGGCTTGTGTGGAGTTTGCTGGTGTGTGTGTGTGTGTGTGTGAGTCGGGGCTTGTGTGGAGTTTGCTGGTGTGTGTGTGTGTGTGTCGGGGCTTGTGTGGAGTTTGCTGGTGTGTGTGTGTGTGTGTGTCGGGGCTTGTGTGGAGTTTGCTGGTGTGTGTGTGTGTGGGGGGTGGCTTGTGTGGAGTTTGCTGGTGTGTGTGTGTGTGTGTGTGTGTGTCGGCTTGTGTGGAGTTTGCTGGTGTGTGTGTGTGTGTGTGTCGGGGCTTGTGTGGAGTTTGCTGGTGTGTGTGTGTGTGGGGGGTGGCTTGTGTGGAGTTTGCTGGTGTGTGTGTGTGTGTGTGTGTGTGTCGGGGCTTGTGTGGAGTTTGCTGGTGTGTGTGTGTGTGTCGGGGCTTGTGTGGAGTTGGCGGGGGTGTGTGTCTGAGCTGCAGGTCGGGTGTCAGTCGGTGTGAGTGCATGTGAGAATGCCGGTGTATTCTGGGGCGCGTGGGGTGGACCGATGTTGGGGTGTGTGTGCACGCACATGCACCAGGGTTGCCGGGGGTGTCCGGTGTGTGTCTGTGTGAGCGTGTGTGGCCCTGTCACCGCCGGCTCCAGGCCCGGCCACATAAACTTCACACCCCTGCGGGCGGCTCCAGCGGCCCCGCAGCGGCGCATGGGGCAATGGGAAGCAGATGGGCCGGGATGGAGGCCATATGGGGCTGGGGGCGGGGGCGCATTCCTCCCTCCCAGGGCCTCCAGGAAGCCCCCTGCCTGCCGCCCCGTCAGGGTGGGAGCTGGAGCTGACACAGTAACAAATGTCCTGCAGCCAGCGTGGAGCCAGCGTGGAGCCAGTGTGGAGCCGGCGGGGAGGCACCCCCCGCCCCCGTGGGGGCGTGTGTGTGTGTGTGTGTGTGTGTGTGTGTGTGTGTGTGTGATGGGGGTGGCCAGGGGCTGTCAGCTGGGCGGGATGCTGCCCTGAGAAGCCATAGCTGACCCCCGTGCTGTGCAACTTTGGGCACCGCACACACCCACTCTGGGCCTGCGTTTCCCCGGCAGGGTCACAACAGGGTGGCTCTCCAGGATGGGATGCCGGGAAGTCTGGGCCCACCCCGTTTCCAGGCTCAGGGAGGACCCCAACTCCAGAAAGCCTGGCAGGTCCAGCAGCAGTGACAGCAGCTGAGTGTGGCTGCATCCAGGCACTGGACAATGGCTAAGAGGTGGGATCCGGAATGAGACTGGCTTAGGTTCCAATCCCGGCTCTGCCACCTCCTGACTGTGGGTGCGAGCAACATCATCAGGCAAGTCCCCTATCTCCGTGCCTCAGTTTCTCCTCTGAAATTGGAGGTAATAATAACAGCACCTCCCTCCCCCAGGTGTGGCGAAGGTTGAGTGAGTTCATGGGGGGAGGGACTGTAAGCACTCGCTCACAGGAGCGTCCCAGCATCCCCCGAGGCAGGTCCTGAGCCTGCGCGGCAGGTGAGACCCAGCGAGGCTCGGCACTCACCCGGCTCACACAGGATTCAGGGAACAGAGCTGGGTGCAGACCAGGTCTCCTGTCCCTAGAGCCCACTCTCTCGCCACCTTGCAGGGCGCACGGCTGCCACCTCCCCGTCCCCTCTCCAGCCCCACCCCTGCCCTGTCTGGGTGAGCTGCGGCTGTTTCTTCTAATCTCCAGATGAGAGCTGGGGCCGCCCTATAGCTGGGCCAGGGTCCCGGAGGTGGCAGGAAAGGTGGCCTGGCCAGGGGCCTGGCTCTCCTGCCTTTGCCGTGGCCCCATTGGTGGGAGGCGGCGCTGCCTTCCAGGCCCGGCGTGGACTCAGGCAGCTCCAGTCCAGACCCTGGCTCCGCTCTCCCTGCTGTGTGGCCCTGGGCAAGTGCCTGGGCCTCTCAGAGCCTCGGGGATGTCAGGAGGACGGGCTCAGCAAGGACTCGGTGATGAGGAAATGGCAGTGACCGTTCTCGCAGCAAGTGTCTTATAAACTGTCCCCGTTGTTTCCCCTCTCGTGGAGGGTTGCGATCAGACGGGCAGGGTAGAGGGGAAGGGTTCAGAAGTGGAGGTGGCTCTAGGTGGCCTTGGCCTAGTCCGCTCACCACCTCCAAGGCTCCTTTCCTGTTTCCCAAAGGAACAGCAGGGCAAGCTTGTCGTGGCGACCAGGACCGTGCAAATGCAGTGTTTGGCACGTGCCAGGTGCTCAGCAAACGCTGAGTGGGCGTCTCTCCTATTCTTGCCCCGTGTGGGCCTCTGTAGGGCTGTCTGTTGTTGGCTCCTACCCAGCATCCACTCCCCTTCTCTGTGCCTCAGTCCAAGGGTTTCAGGTGGGGCCGACTCCATTGTTGGGTGGGGCACGTGACCCCGGACTGACCAATCATAGTGCTAGCGTCCTCTCAGCCAATGAGAGCCGGGCCTGGGATTTTAGCTGGACAGGTGGAGGGTGGGGGAAGGAGGCACTTTCTCGCTGTCGGGGTTGCTGAGCCCAGTTGGGTGGAAGCCTGGACCGTGGGGTTCATCGTGGCTCAATGAGAGGAAGCCTGGCTGAGAGTGCAGCCAGCAAAGGTGGAGGGAAAGCAAGTCTCGACGAGGAAATCTGAACACCTAGATGCGGCCACGCCTGGTACCATTATTGATTCCTGCTTCGTGGGTGAGAAACGGAGGCCAAATCCAAGGTCCCAGAGCCAGGGAGTGTTAGGACTGGGATTTGAACCCAGGCCGACTGGCGCCAGTGGCTGTGCCCTTAACCTCCAGACGCTACAGACCTCTTTGGTGTAAATCCCTCCCTCTAGCCTGGAATCCTCCTCAGCCAGCCTAGTTTTTGAGCTCAGCTATTTCTGAGCCTCCCAAGGGAGAGTGTTTCCTGCCTCTGGCAGAAAAATCAGGGGAGAAAATGAGAGCCCTGTGGTCTGGCTCTGCTCTCAGTTTGGGCAAGCTTGGGACAAATGAGAATTCTTTCCTTCTTCTTGCTCTTTCTTCTTTTCTTTCTTTCTCCCCTTCCCTCCCTCCTTCCTGCCCTTCCTTCCTTCTTTCCTTCTCCCTCCTCCCTTCCTCCCTCCCCCTCCCCCCTCTTCTCCTCCCCCCTCCCCCTCTTCTCCTCCTCCTCCCCCCTCCTTCCTGTCTGAAATAAAACAGAGCTGACTCCAGCCCACCTCACACCCCAGGTCCTGCTCTGCCTGGATGACTGGCGTCTCAGCCTGCTTCCAGGCCTGGCCGGCTGTGTCACGCCCCAGCACAGCAGTCAGCAGTGACACCTATTCAGACGCAGATCCCACGGCTGTGTGTGCATCCAGCAGGGTGGTGGCGACTTGGATGCAGTTAGTTCTCAGGGTTCTCAGGACACTGCGTGAGGGTGTCTAGTGTCTGTAGGGACTCAAAGGCTGCGAAGGTTAAAAGTTGTGCCTAGGTGGGGGTGGGGTGGCCATGAGCTGGATTGCCTCTGGGCCAGAGGGGCTGAGGACAGGAGCCGTGAGGGAGGGGTCCTTGCAGTCGTTTAGACATTTAGATTCAAGTTCCAACTCAACTAACTTTTCACCCCAGGCTGGTGCCATGACTTCTCTGAACCTCAGTTTACTCACCTGAAAAATAGACATTAAGAAGAAAATTCCCAACATGCTGAGCTCTTCCTGTCCACCGGGCTATGTGGTCAGCCCTTTGCTCGGAGAAATGTATCGAGTCCTCATAACCCCACAGGGTGGGTACTGTTATTCTTGCCAATTTTTCAGAAGATGAAACTGAGGCTCAGAGTGGTCAGGGGACTTGATCAAGATCACACAGCTGGTAGGAGACAGAGCTGGGACTTGCACTCAGGCATCCAGCTGCAGACCCTGTGCTCTTACTAATACTAGATACGGTTTTCGTTTCATTTGTTTTATTCACTGCTGTGTCTCTGTGCCTGGCCTGTGGCAGGTCTTAATAGAGATTTGTTGAATGAAGGAATGAATGGATTAATTGCTCATGAAGGGAGTGACTCAGTAGAGGTTCTCTAATTGCTCATTCTCCCTAAATATGGGAGAGTGTAAAGCAAGTGCTAATCCCTGTGGTAGAGCCTTGGCCTTCTCTCCCTGCTGTGTAGCAGGGATAGTGACAGTCCTGCCGCTTAGCGCTGTGACGAGCAGCATTAAATGAGATACTGTCGGGACAGCACCCAGCACCCCAGATGACCTCCATGGGTGTCAGCTGGTTCCATCTGCTTCCAGGTTCTCCTATGCTGTGGGTTCCTGACGAGGTCCTGTCTCCCCACAGGCCAAACAGGGCCACCTGTGGTGCCAGGCACACAGTAGGTGCTCAGGGGAGAAGGATAGATACAGGAACCCTTGCCATGTGCCAGCCTCTTTTTAAACACTCGTCGTCTGATCTACTTCTTCCAACAACCAGCAACAAGGGGCCCGGTGCCTGGTCCGGCAGACCCTCCGAGAATGTTTGTTGAATGACTGAATGAAACACAGCGCTGGCTGCGTGGGCCGAGTGTATCTGGTGCAAGCCCTGCCCACCGCCCACGGGCTGCCAGCCCACAGCCAAGCCAGGGTTTCCACATCTGCTAGCGCTGCCAGGAGGTGAGCCGGCCTTGGGGGAGGTATTTCCCGGCTGTGGAGCCGGGATGCAAGGCGGGGGCAGGGGGGGCGCTGCCAGGGGAGGAATTTCCTTCACGAAGTTAAGCCTGGGCTGAGTGATTGCTCTCTGGGCCCCCGCTGGTGTCAGCTGGGGGGGAGGGGCAGGGGGGGGGCTGTGGGACGCCCCGGTTGTCAGCTGAGCCTGGAGGTCTGCCAGCTGCAGCTCGGTGCCCCAGGGAGAGGGTCATTGTCCAGGAGGTGCACCATCAGCTCAGACAGGTCACCTCGTCTCTCTGAGCTCGGCGTCTTCGCTGGCAGCGTCCCAGCTTCGTGGGCTGCCATGGGGTTCGAAGGCGCCGGACTCATCGTCGGCGGGGGACAGCACCGCTGGCAGCGCACGGGCTCGGCCTCCGGTGCAGACGGGCCTGGAGGGCCCTGGGTGAGTCACTTCCCTCTGCAAGCCTCGACTTCCCCGGCAGCCTGTCCTGAGCCTGAGATACGAGAATGTTCTCGGAAGCAGGAACTTTTGAACCATAAGTGAGAAAACAATGACAACCGTAATAGTAATGCCAGAACAAAAGGGCTTTCAGTCACTCGTTCGTTCATCCCTTCAGCTTATGCTTTTAGCTCCCTTCATTCATTCATTCGCTCACGAACACTATGGACATTTATTTCATGCCAGACCAGGGTTGCCGGATCTAGCAGTAACAAAGACACCAAGATCAGTGACGACAGACAACAACAAAAACCCAGAATGCCCAGTGAAATGGGAATTTCAGATCAACAAGCAATGCTTTTTGGGGTAGGCACGCCCCGTGCACCGTCTCTCAGCGTGAGTGCGTCCGAGGGGCCCCGCAAGCCCGGGCTGTCTTTCTCACGCTTCCCCGTTCCTTGCTTACGCAGCCCTGCGAGGCGAGAGTTACTGCCCACGAGGAAGCAGAGGCTCAGAGAAGGCGTCCACCTGCCCGGATCACTCGGGCAGGTGTCCTGGCTGAGGCGGGGACCTTGGGCAGAGCCCCGGTGACATGGGCTCTGCGTCACCCCTGCTCACTTCCTGGATGGCAGTTTCGGGAACAGAGAGCCATCGTGGCAGCCGCCTGGCACTTTCCCCTGCCCCAGCCCTCACCTGTTGGGGAAAGCCCCTGCGGGTCACCTGGGGCTGAAGGCTGGCACAGCCAGGAGCGGGCTGGGGAGTGGGGCGCACAGAGCTCCCAACCCCGAGGCAGGGGGCGTCCGGAGGCAGAGGGAGGTGGGGGGCAGTGGACCGCAGAGCTACCTTGGCCATGTGGCTTCCTGCCCCACGGCCCCTTGTCAGCAAGCAGGGCCTCACTGACACCCCAGGTGTGCCCTGTACCAAGAGGGGGTGCCTGGAGTCCCCCCTCTCCCCACCTGTGTGCCCTTGGGGAAGCCTTAGCCCTTCTCTGGGCCTGAGCCCCTCCTCTCTACAAAGAAGCATTCGTTCATTCGCCCACTCACACAGTCGTTCATCTATTTGTGCTTTACTTCCAGATATTTCTTGAGCACCTACTATGTGCTGGGTACTGTTCTAGGCACAGGGCATGGGGCATGAGAGAACAAGACAGACTAAAAGCTTTGCTCTCATGGAGCTGATGGTGTAATGGGGGAGAGAGACAACAGACACATAAGGAAAATAATTTGGGATAGGGAAGGCACTAAGATGGAAACAAACAGGGAGTGGCGATGGGGTGTGACTGGAGGGGCCCCTGAGCCAGGGCAGTCTGGGAGCTCTCTGAGCTGGTGATGTGTGAGCAAAGACCCAACTGGTAGAAGGAGCTGGCTCAGTGGCGCCGTGGGGAAGGTGCGCGCATGAACAGCAAGTGCAAAGGCCCTGGGGCAGAGCAAGCTGGTGCCTGTGGGAGAAGGTGTTGCTAGAACTCAGTAAGCGAGGGGGCGCCTGGTGGGGTTGAGGCGGGGGAGGTGGGCAGGGGTCCATCACGCAGGGCTTCGCTGGGCTCTTCCTTCACTCTGTGTCACTTCCTCCGAGGAGCCTTCCCTGGGAACCCTGGCTAGCCCAGGCCCTGCCTTACTGTACCTCCTGACCTCATCACTGCGTGGCTCACCCTCTCTGTTCATCGGCGTGTGGGGATACATTGTCTGTCTGTCTCCACCATTACAACATCAGTCAGTCGGTGGAGATGCCTGGAATCACTCGTGGACTCCCGCAGGGCGAGCATGGGTGCCCACGACGGAGGGCCGGGAAGCAGAGGTTGTGTTTTGTGGGTTGCAGGTTTGACTCAACATCAGCCTCCCAGGCCAAATCTGGAACCCAAGCCCTGAGTCCTTCCAGACTTCCCGCAATAACGAGGATACTCCCTGCTAGCTTTGCTCGGATGCTTTGTGTGTGTGGGCATTGCTAAGCACTCTTTCCTGTCGTGGTGAAATACACATGAGATTTACCATTTTAACCAATTTCAAAGTGTGCAATTTGGTGGTATCTGCTGCAGTCACGATATTGTGCAACCGTCACCACTCTCTGCTTCCAGAACATTTTCATCCCTCCAGAGGGAAACCCTGCACCCATTCAGCATCGCTCCCCACCCCCACACCCCAACCCCTGGCGACAGCTAACCTCCTTTCCGTCTCTGTGGATTTGCCTTGTCCCGCTAATGGGATCATGTCATATGTGGCCTTTCGTGTCTGGCTTCTTTCACACGCTCACCCGTGCTGTGGTGTGTTTGTGGTATGTGCTATGTAGTGTGTAGGTGCTGGGGTCTTTTTTAATTGCTGAATAATATTCCTTTGTGTGGATAGACCCCGTTTTGTTTATTCCTCAGCGGAGGGACAATGGGCTATTTCCACTTTTTGGCTGTTGTGAATATTGCTGCTATGAACATTTGTGTACAAGTTTTTGTTTGAATATCTATTTTCAGTTTTGGGGGTACACACCTAGTTGTGGCATGGCTGGGTCACATGGTATTTCTATGTTTAATTTATTGGGGGACCACCCACTAAGCATCTTTTTTTGTTGTTCTTTCTTTTTTTTTCTCTCTCTCAGTTTCACCATCTGTACTGCTAAGCATCTTTATTTATTTATTTATTTTTTTGAGACAGAGTCTCGCTTTGTTGCCCAGGCTAGAGTGAGTGCCGTGGCGTCAGCCTAGCTCACAGCAACCTCAAACTCCTGGGCTCAAGCGATCCTCCTGCCTCAGCCTCCCAACTAGCTGGGACTACAGGCATGCGCCACCATGCCCGGCTAATTTTTTCTGTATATTTTTAGTTGGCCAATTAATTTCTTTCTGTTTATAGTAGAGACAGGGGTCTGGCTCTTGCTCAGGCTGGTTTTGAACTCCTGACCTCGAGCAATCTGCCCGCCTCGGCCTCCCGGAGTGCTAGGATTACAGGCGTGAGCCACCGCACCAGGCCTAAGCATCTTTAAAAGCACTCATAATCTTGGGGAATTCTCACAACCAGCCAATGAGAGAGGCTCCATGTTGCCCCCATTCTGCAGATGAGGAAACTGAGGCTTAGAAAGTGAGCCAGAGTCACACTGGTAAGAAGTGAAGATGCTGAGTCTGTTGGATTCAGAACCTCCTTGAACCCAAGCCGAGAAGGGAGAGAGGGAGAGTGAGGACAAGGGTGTCTTCAGGCCACGCTTTGCCTCTTGCGTTGCTACCTACGGAGAAAGCTGAGGAAAGAGGTAAGAGCCAGGGCTTCCCTGCCCAGCATGTTTGATTTCCAGCCCCCTAATCCCCCTTCCTGGCTGCGTGACGTTGGTCAAGTTGGCTCACCTCTCTGGGCCTCTATTTTTTCATTAAATGGTGCTAAGGAGGAAAACTCCCTCAAATGGGAGGGAGCTGCCCTGCTGCTGTCCCCGTCAGGGTCGTTACTGTCCTTTGCTGACACAAGGGATCCCTTGCTCTTGGTCTGGGTGGGGCTGGGCGTGGGGCAGGAGCTGGAGGGAGTAGGGGTGGTGTCTGCCTCGAAAGCCCCCGGCCGTGTTACGACTGGATGCTCCTGATGGGAAAACAGCGCACAGTTTTCCAGAATTGCTGGGACGCCAGCTCGTCGGGGGGAAAGCAGCCCGGTCCCATTAATTTGCCAGAACCACACTGCGTTTGAGGCCAGAAATAATAACAACCGTGGCCTATTTAGTGGATGCCAGGGAATAAAATCTAACCTGGATGAGCGACTGCGACAGGAGGGACCGTGGGGGACAAGTCCCACAGGCAAGCTTGTGACGTGGCCGGGGCGGGGTCCCCAGGCCTCTTGGCCGAGCTCGCACGGGCTGGGCGCGAGGGGAGAGCGAAGGCAGCGCTTTCCGGGCACGTGCTGTGTGCCGGGCGGCACGCTGGTGTTCGCGGGCGCTGACGCAGGCAACACACAAAACCACCCTGGAAGGCAGTGCGCTGCTGTATACCCCGCGGCGCAGATGGGAAACTGAGGCCCAGAGAGGTGGAGACACTTGTCTGGGGTTGAACAGCTGAGCAGCAGCTGCTCTGCGGCAGGGGCTGGATGGGACCCACCTCTGAACCCCCGGGTGTCTCTCTCGGGGACGGCTGGAAACGTGGTGTTTAATGTCTGCAGGCTGAAGTGACCGTGTGCAGCTGAGGTCACTGGCTGATTGGGGGGTGCTGGTGGAGGAATGGGGAGGGGTGCAGGTACCCAGGAGGTGCTCTGTGTCCCTTCGCTGGGTGTTTTCCTTCCTGGACTCTTGGCCTGGTTCGTTCTTGGTATGTGGGTTGGGGGTTGGTGAGAGAAAGGAGACCCCAGCTCTGGGGCTGGGGGCGTTAGGATCCAGGGCCAGGGCCGTAGCCCAGGGTCCCTCCTGTCTGGGGGGTCCACGGGGAAGCGTGTGATCGGTCTACACTGGTGAAGGCTCAGCCCTACCCAGCGCCCTGTCCTGGACTTGCCAACCAGGCAGTGCCACTGCCAGCGCCAGGCTGCCAGAGCTGTGTGACAAGTGTCGCAGCCTCTGTGAGCCCCCCTGGAAATGAAGCAACCAGGGCCCTCGGTTGGGAAGGGGGGATTGCTAGGGTTCGGCCGCTGCCCCAGGAAGAATCCACATGGCGTGTGAGCGCCGGGGCCGGCCCTGCTCGGCCGGTGGAACGTCAGACGGGAGGTTGGACGTGAGGCCAAGGCTGGCTCCGGCCCAGCGGCCCGGACACGGGGGGAGGGAGGCCTGAGCCGGCCAGACTCCTGAGTCACATTTTCCTGGCGCTGCCAAGACGGGCGGGCGGGAAAGCCCGGGAGGTGGCTGGAGGGAGGGGAGGAGGAGAGGAGGGGCGGAGAGTAGAGGTGCCGGTTGTAGCCATTGCTGGGTGGGACAGACAGGAGCCACCTGTTAGGAGCTTGTCAGACACCAAGAGGGTCCTGGGGTGTCAGAGCAGGGTCCTTGCACTCCCTGGGTCAAGGCTGCAAGCTCAACCCCACAATTTCCTAACCCTCCCCCTGCCACGTGCACACTCGCCACACTCAGCTTCACGACCTTCTTTCTGCTGCTTGAGTTTGTCCATCAGGTTCCAGCCTCAGGGCCTTTGCACTTGCTGTGTCTTCTGCCTGAAACACTTGGACGGACGGACTCTTTCTCAGCCTCAGGCTTCAGCTCAAACGCCACCTCTTCAGAGAAGCTTCCCAGTGTGCTCCTCCTGCTCCCTCCCAACTCCTCCAGCTCATCCCTCTTTTATTTGCCCCAAATGTATTGAGCACCTGCTGTGGGCTGGGCCCTGCTTGGGCACGCGGGATGGAACAGTGGACAGAGCAGACGGCCTGCCTGCCCACGGGGAGCTGTTATTCTGAGAACGGAGACCACACAATGCACATGCGGCACGATGTGCTGTGACGAGGGTCGGCAGGGAATGATCGAGCACAGCTGGGGGAGTCAGGAGGCCAGAGGGAATGGTTTCCGTGTTGGGGCTGGTTAAGGAAGGTGTCTCTTGGGAAGCGATGCCAGGCAAAGATTGGAAGGAGGTAAGGGAGGGGCCTATGTGAGTACCTGTGGAAAGAGAGTTCCAGGCAGAGGGCACGGCAAGTGCAAAGGCCCTGAGGCAGGGAGGTGGCAGTGTAATCAGGGAGCAGCCAGGAGGCTGGAGTGGTGATGGGCGGGGTGGGCCAGGTGAGGCGCTGAGGCTAGGGAGGGAACAGGGCTGGCAGATCCAGCCGGGAACGGGCAGGATTCGGCCTTTGCTCTAGTGAGGAACAGCCCCTTGGTGCCGGGCCGAGGGCTCCAGCGGAGGTGAGACACGGTCAGATTCCACGTAGGTCCGGAGGAGGATTGACCTGTCACAGCCAGGGATTGGGTTGAGGGCTATGGCAGAGGGAGGCGCCAGGATAATGTTCAGTTTGGGATCGGTGCCCCCCAAACCTTCCAGGCAGACAGGCAGGTCCTCCCGCCTCCCCTGCCCCGAGATGAGACCCAGGGGCGGTTGGGCTCCCAGGGACAGGCCCAGGTCTGCGCGGGGCAGGGGCAGCTTCTGGCTGGTCAGCCCCCCCCATGCAGGGTTTCTTGCAGGGAGGGGTCCCTAAGTCTTCCTTCCTTCTCTTCCTCCCTCTTTTTTGTAATCATCCGTCTAGCCAGGGTCTCGGTCAAGCCCGTGAGCTGGCCAGTGGGAAGAGAGATGCTCTGTCACCATCGGGCCATGGGAAAGGTGAGAGGAAGCCACTGGTGAGGGGAGAAGCAGCCTGTGGCCAGCCAGCACCGCCGCCTGCCATGTGCACACGCAGACCCAGTGTGTCATCCCCCAGCCACGGTCCCCCCTGCACAGCCGGGCCGTGGGATCCTGGCCGGAGCCATGGCCGGTGACTCAGCAGGAATCACCCCAGACAGGAGCACAGCCCGGGTGCCCAGACCAGAAACCGCCCCTGACCTGTCCAGCTGGGCAGGAACAGGGACAGAGTGGGCGAGGGTAGCTGGGCCAGTCTGCTGGGGGAGGGGAAGCCCCCAGCCCAGATGCAGCTCTCAGCCACCTGCCCGAGGTGCCCGCTGGGGCTCAGATCACAGTGTCAGGGTGGGGTGCTTGGTGTTCTGTCAGTTCTGCCGACGCCTGGAGTGTCTGTCTGGTTTTGCTGGGTTGTCATGGTGTAGCATGTCTATTCCACTGTATTCTTTCTGTCGTGTGTTCTGGTCTGTTCTAGAGCCTTCTATTCCTTTCTATGCTATTGGGTTGATTTATTCAACAGATACTTATTAACCACTTACTATGTGCCAGGCAGTGTTCTAGATGCTGGACTTACAACTTTGGGTAAAACAAGACCCCTGCCCCAGGGAGCTCATGGGAGACTAGCAACACGCCTTGTCGGGCCGCAGGAGAGCTGGGAACAGCAGCACGAAGTCACAGGATAAAGCCAGAGGGGCAGCCGGATGCAGCGGTGGGGTCAGGGACGGCCTCATGGACAAAACCATGGCGTTGGGCAGAGAAGGAGGTGAGGGAGGGAGGCGGACATCAAGGGCCCGAGAAGAGCATCCTGGGCAGCGGGAAAAGCAGGGACAGAGACCATGGGGAATGTGCCGTGGGTTCAAGGCATGGCCAGGAGCTGCAGCAGATCGCCGAGGGGGGGCAGGGGAAGGAGCGGAGGGGCGCGCGTGTCTTCTGTGCATTTGAGCAAAGGGAGGATTTCCAGGACATTTTTCCTTCCCCACCAGGTTAGCAGCAAACCCGACCACCTGAGACATGTCTCGGCGGCTGGCCGGGGCCTTTGCCGTCTGAGGCCGGGTCCTGCCAACCTGTCCTCCTGCTGCCTTCCTGAGCCGGTCACTGTAACAGGGCCTGGGGCTGGTTCATTCCTTCCTTCATTCATTCTTGCATTCATTCATTCCATCGGCACTGACTGAGCCAGATCCGTGAGGAATGAGACAGACACTGTCCCTGCCCACGGGAGCTCAGAAGTCCAGCCAGGGAAGCCCAGAGGACCCCGGGTGGAAGAACAGAAACACCTCCACAGCAGTATCCAGTATCGATAACAAGGATGCTAAGGGCCCTCTGCTGAGGCTTTACAGGAATCAGTTCATCCACGCTCACAGTAAGGATGTTCCCATTTCACAGATGGGGAAACTGAGGCACAGAGACGTGAAGGGCAGGATGGGCAGAGCCGGGCTTTGCTCCCAGGTGGTTGGTTCTGGCCCTGTCCTCTCAACACGCCCCACGGGCTGGTCATCGGGCAGCACAGCCCAGGTGCCCACTGCTGGGGGAGGGGAGGGCGGGGAGGGACGTGGGGCAGGCCAGGCGCCATTCAGGCAGGGTGTCATGGGACATCAGGGGGCTTCCTGGAGGAGGCAGATGCCAGGTGGGAGGGAACAGGAGGGACAGAGCTCTCCACGGTGCTGCTGGGAGCGTGGGGCCAGCAGGGGTGGCCTTGAATGGTGGGTGCGTGTGTGTGTCCTGGTGTGGCGTTGTGCATCTCCCCATGTGTGTGTGTGGTTCAGCTCCAAGCTGCCTCTCCAGCTGTGTGACCTTGGACAGGTGCCTTGCCCTCCCTGAACTTCAGTTTCTTCATCTGTATGATGGGGCAGTTGGATGCTGGGAACCTGGGTTCTCTCGAGCCCCTGTTTGGGTACACAGTGCCTGGCCCCGGAGCCTCCACCACCTCGGATCTTGGGGGAACTGAAGCTTTTGGGGAGGTGGCCTATGGACCGCCCCCCTCACAGCGGAGAGGCTGGCCCTCCCGGCCTGACCTGGGGCTGAGACCCGTCTTGCTGGGGCTGGGCCAGGGCCTGCGCACTCCCACCGAGCCCCTGCCGAGTGCCGGGCCGTTCTCCAAGCCTTCTTCACCACCCTGGGAAGTGGGGAGCAGGACTGGGCCCAGCTGCTCCAGCTCTAGCTCTTTCCTCTGCCCGGCCCTTCTTAGGTTGGGGAGCGAGAGGTACCAGAAAGGTCTCCCCGGAGCAGGAGGGGTCGATGACCCCACAGTGGGCAGGAGTGGCAGCTCCCACCCTGTACGGGCCTGTGTCTTTTTGCAGCCCTGGGGGTGGCTCAGCCCAGTGTTCAGATGCGGGAACAGAGGCCCGTCTCGTCCCGTCCTGCGCGGTGAGCGCCCTCCCTGCCCCCGCCCCCAGCCCGAGTGGTCCTCCCGTCTCTGCAGACACGCTGGGCCTCTCCCAGCTCCAGGCCTCTGCGGGCACAGGTCCCGCTGCCTGGGACACGCTGCCTGGGACACGCTCTCTCCCCTTCCCAGGGCGGCTTCTCCTCCTCCAGGTCTCAGCTGAGACGTCACGCCCTCAGAGAGCCCCCAGCAGCCTGACCCACCCGAACGCCCTTGTCGTGTGTGACGGGATCTTGCTCGCTGCCTCCTCTGCTGGTTTGTCCTGTCCCCCCAGAAGGTCAGCTCCCCGAGGGGCAGGCCCGCCCGCCCCATTCGTGCTGTGCCCCCAGACCGAGCACGGTGCCCGGCAAGTCCCTGTCCGCTGGGCGAATGCTCTGGATGCACCTGGGCGTGGCCAAATGCCCGCCTTTGCCGAAGGCTGCAGTGACCTCACTGCCCAAGGAGAGGTAAGTTGGAGGAATGGGAACAACACAAAAACTGGAGTTTGAATTTTGCTTACTGTGTGACCTTAAGCAAGTGGCCCATCCTCTCCGTTTCTGAACCTCCACTGCCCAGCTAGAATACGGGATGACCACGGCGGGTCCCCGCAGGGTTGCTGCGAAACCTGACATTCTCACTCTCATTCAGTGGGGATGGGAGCCACCCAGCCCCAGCAGGTGCCCATATGGTGTCACCCAGCTCCCCAGCCCCCAGCCCCGCAGTCCCTGGCTGGTAGGGGCGAGAGGGGAGGCGCAGGGAGCGGGCTGAACAGCTCCCACCTGCTGCCGCCTCCGCAGGCCAGAGCGAGTGGTGCACCTGCCCCAGGTCACAGAGCACAGGGCAGGGAGCTGAGGGGTGGGGAGGGGGGAGTCCTGGTGTCACCGAGGACAAAACCGCCCATTGTGGCCCTGTGGGTAGGAGGGAATGGCAGGGCCTGAATGGCGCGAGGAGCAGGGGCAGGTGTGGGAGCAGGTGTCCACTGTCCTCACACAGCATCGCCCCTGGGGGAGTGCCCCGTGCACTGTCCTGGAACCGGCCCGGCTGGTCGGACACCTGTCCCCTGCAGCTTCTTGTCAGGAGCCAACACAGGCATGAGCCAGGCCCTGAGGGTGGGGTGGGGGTGAACAGTGAGGGCGGGGAAGTGGAGGGTGGTGGGAAGGGGGGGAAGAGACAGGGTTGGGGCAGAGGGCCTGGGATAGAGTCCCAGCCCTGCTCCTTCAGGCTGGGGACACTGGGCAAGTCACCTCTCTAAGCCTCAGTTTGCTCATCCACAAAGTGGGGCTGAAGCTCCCCTCTGTGGTCAGCATCTCTGCCCCAGAGAACTGACCAGACACAGGCATGGGGTGGGGGCGGGGGGGCTTTGACGTTTTGGCGTGCACCAGAATAGGCTTGTCATTTTTTTATTCAAGAAACACTATGGAGGTCGTGCGCGGTGGCTCGCACCTGTAATTAAAAAAAAAAAAAAAAAAAGGAACACTATGAAGTGCCTACTGTGTGCCAGAACCACACTGGGCGCTGGGGACGCAGGCGTGAGCAGGACAGACCAAGTCCCTATCCTGGGCAAGAAGACAAAGCCCGTGGAAGAAAGAAGCAGCTGTAGAATTCCAGACAGTGATGTGGGCAATGAAAAATTAATTTTTTTTTTGAGACAGAGTCTCGCTTTGTTGCCCAGGCTAGAGTGAGTGTCATGGCGTCAGCCTAGCTCACAGCAACCTCACACTCCTGGGCTCAAGCGATCCTACTGCCTCCGCCTCCCGAGTAGCTGGGACTACAGGCATGCGCCACCATGCCCGGCTAATTTTTTGTATATATATATATTTTAGTTGGTCAATTAATTTATTTCTATTTTTGGTAGAGACGGGGTCTTGCTCAGGCTGGTTTCGAACTCCTGACCTTGAGCAATCCTCCCGCCTCGGCCTCCCAGAGTGCTGGGATTACAGGCGTGAGCCACCGCGCTGGCCTGAAAAATTAAATTCAGGGTGTGCTAGAGGGTGACTTTGGTGGCAGAGCAGGGAAGCCTCTCTGAGGAAGTGACAGGAGCCACCAGGAGGAGGAGGAGGAGGAGGAGAGGGTGGGGCAGCTGGGAGGGGGGCTGCAGGTGGGCCTGAGGTGGGGCTAAGCTTTCATTTGCATTTGCAGAGGGACTGCCAGGACCCCTCCCACCCTGAGATCTTTTCAGAGGTGACCCTGGGCCTGCCCCTCCCCTCCCTTTCCCGGGGCCAGGCCAGGGGGCAGGGTGTGGCTGGCCTGGCAGGAAATGGGGCCGGGACCCTGGCCCCAGACTCTCTGGGGACTGCTAATATCCCGAGTGCCGGTGACGAGACACAGCCCCGGGTGGCAGGGGCTGGGGACTCCATAAACAGCCGTGGCTCGTAAAGCTGATCAAAGCAGCAGGCCGGTCCCAGGCCTGGCCGCTTCCTGCGGGGCCCAGGGGCCCAGGGACCCCCAGCTCGTGGGGGATCCTGGGAGAGGCTGCTCTGCCAGACTTGCCCCAGGGTCTCCCTGTGGCCAAGGGCAGGGGCATCGTCCTGCAAGGGCGTTTTGCTGGAACTCAGCCTGTTTCATGCCACCTCTTTGACAAGATTTGGCTGTGACCTCAGGCCGTGACACCTCCCCTAGCACCCGCAAATGTCTGTTGCTCTAACGTGGGGATAGGGAATTTTATTTATACAATTTATAATGACAGTTTACCGATTGTCTAATGACCACGGTAATGATCACGGGATAAGCCCCAGGCAGCAGGGACTGTCTGAGGCGAGTGGGACCACAGGGAGGACTGTGGGGAGGGCCCCAGGCGGAGGATTTCCAGGTGGAGGAGCCTGGCAGGCCACGCCCAAGGCCTGAGGCGCAGCCCGTTTCCCAGGCCTGGCTCCAGGGCCGAGACCCCAGGGTCTCGCTTGCTCTGTCTGAGCCTCCGCAGCCAAATGGGGCAGATTCAGTCTGTGGAGGATTTGAGGATGAAACAGACCCAGGATTCAACCGAGTCTCCCTGAGTCCCTGCCCCGGTCTCCTGGTCTGTCCCCATCCTGTCGCACCTGGGGCTCCCTCCCTGCCCCGCGCCCTCCTCCTGTCACACTCGCCAGAGAACCTAAGTCACTCCATGTCCCTCCTCTGCTCAGAGGCCCCCCCAGGGCCCCCAGATCCCGCAGAGAGCCGGAGCCCTCCCTGGCTCTGCGTTTTCCTTTTGCTCAGCCCTACGCCTCCCTCCGGACGCCCTACGTAAACCCGCCCACCTCGTCTGTCCCCCCCACCCCAGGAGTGCCGGCTCCAGGAGGGCAGGGATTTTTTCTCTGTTTTGTTCCCAGCTGACTCCCCCTCTCCACCCCTAGGTCCTGAAACAGCGGGTGCCTAATAGGTATCCGTGGAGGCACCCACGAGGCACGCACGCGTCCCCCCAGCTCCCGAGGCAGGGCCACTGTTCCTTCCACTTTATGACGGATGGAAGTGAAACTGAGCACGACCTTAGCTGGGAAGTGGACAATCGGGGCCTGGTGACAACAGTGACAACGGTAGCTGAGGGGTATTGAACACCTGCTGGGTGCTGGGCGTTGGAATAGCAGCAAAAGAAAAAACTGGGCACATAGTTAACACGTCCCAGGAAATAACCCCGGGGACCCTCAGTGGGACTCTCTATGGAGGGACTGTTACCACCCCCATTGTACAGAGGAGCAAACAGAGGCCTGCGGTAACCCAGGCTTCAGCCCGGGTTGCGGCTCTGCCTCTTCTGCAGATTGGAAGACCGAGGTGCAGACAGGCACCTGGCGTGGTCCTGAGTCCAGGGAAAGCCAGACGTTATTCCCAGAGGCCACGGAGGTCTTGCCAGAGGCCAGCCTCCCGGTCGTGCCCTTGCTTGGGGTCACAACGGCTCAGCTGATGGCGCCCGTGCTGTGTGCGCTGACCTCCACTGTAGGAGTGAGGGAGCTGAGCTCCAGAGGGGACGGCCACCCGCCGAGGCCACATAGCCAGGAGGGGGCAGAGGCGGCTGGACACAGAGCCTGTGACTACAGAGGGGGAGACCGAGGCCGGGAGAGAGGAGGGCCTTGCCCAAGGTCAGGCAGGCCGTGCACAGCGGAACCCCAGGCGCAGTGTGCCCACGGCCTGGGTGGGCTGGGCGCGGCCTGGCATTTCCGCTTGTATGGGCAGGACCCAGGGTGTGGCCCTGAGTGGGGAGGTGGGGGACACCCTGGCCAGGATGCAGTGAGGCGCAGGCCTGGGGGCCCACGTCCTGGTCCCAGGCCCACTCCCCCTTGACCTCTGGTGTCCTTGCTCCTGTCCCCCACCCCACCACAAAGTCTCGGCGTCCTTGGGTTTCCCCACTCTGGGAGGTCACCATTCGATGAACGGACCCTATCCCGGGTCCTCACAGGAAACTCACGTCCCCTCTTTGAGCCTCAGTTTCCTCCTTTGTCAGGTGGGGTCAGTGTGAGGGTGAAATGAGGAGTCACCTGCTCAGCACTTTGGGAACTCCACTGCCCCGAGAGTGGGGCCATCAAGGTCCTGACCCGACCTCGTGCTTCCCAGACAAAGAACTGAGGCCACAAAGGTCGGGGGACCCCCGTGAGGACACGCAGCCGCTGAGGCCTCTCCACTGCCAGGTCCTAGCAGGCGGCCCCGCAGGGGCAAGAGGGCACAGTGTCGTGTCCACACGCAGCGTTCAAACCCCAGCCATGACACTCATTGGCTGTGTGGCATTGGACATGTCACTCTACCTCTCTGAGCATCAGTTTTCTCTTTGAAATAGGGAGAGGTCTAACCCGATGAGCCAACTAATGAGCCAGTTAAGCATGTAACCCCCTAGTGGCAGAGCCTGGCACCCAGTGACTCATGGTCGGCCTTCTCCCTGGACGGGGAGGCTGGGCCCACCCTTTTGGGCCCTTCCAGGCAGGAGGAAGCGCCCCTGGCTGGGGAGGGCCACGAGTCCAGCGGGGGTTGCCGAGAGCCGGGAGCAGTGGCTGACCCACAGCTCTGCGTGAACACGACATCTCCACGCTCCCGGCATGGCGCAGCCTCCGCCCTGTTTGTGCTCTCGGGTATCCGGCCCTGCTGACCTCTCCCACCTCACCCCTGCTGATGCTCCCCATTGCCATTCTCCAACCGCACAGCCCCTCCTGTCCCTCCGTTCTCCCAGCTCATTCGCCTCACAGCCTGTGCACTGATGGGTCTCTCTCCGCAGATCACCTTTCCCTCCCATGTTTCCTCTATTTTATTTATATATATATATTTTGAGACAGAGTCTCACTGTGTCACCCTGGGCTAGAGTGCCGTGGCATCAGCCTAGCTCACGGCAACCTCAGACTCCTGGGCTCAAGTGATCCTCCTGCCTCAGCCTCCTGAGTAACCGGGACTACAGGTGTGTACCACCACACCTGGCTAATTTCTTTCTATTTTTAGTAGACACAGGGTCTCGCTCTTGCTCAGGCTGGTCTGGAACTCCTGACCTCAGGCGATACTCCCGCCCTGGCATCCCAGAGTGCTAGGGTTACAGGCATGAGCCACTGTGTGCGGCCCTCTATCTTATTTTTATCTCCTATTCATTGGAATCTAAGACAGAGCCTAAAATAGTTTAGGTACTTAATGTATATTTGCCCAATGAATAAATGAATGAATTTTGATTTTTGATCTAATATGAGTCTTTGTTTTCTAACAGACCTGTTTAACTCATTAACATTTATTGTTTAAATGATACGTTTGGTCTTTTGTCATCTTGTATTATGTTTTCTGTTGACTGACTGACTGAATGAATGAATGAAGCAGAGTAAATTCCAGGTTGCTGGGGTGGGCTGGAGGTTGGGGCTTCTCCTCCCTGCCCTGGGCCACCCAGAGTGAAAAGGCCATGACACTGACCCCAGACCCCCACTATTGCAATGAAGTATTACACAGTTCTTGGTCGCCCAGAGGAGAACTCTGTCCACTCCCCATCCCGGCTCCCCCAGGTACCCCTCATCCACACTCAGCAGTCCCAGGTTTTCGAATCTGAGTTCTGGAGCCAGATTTTTGTGATGGTGGCTGTGTTCCCTCCTCACGGTTCTTCCCGGTGGGATTGGGAACAAAAATAATACAAGATGACACAGGACCAAACACATCATTGAAACAATAAATGTAAATGAGTTAAACAGGTCTATTAAAACACAAACACTCATGTTGGCTCAAAAATCAAAATTCATTCATTTATTCATTGGACAACTATTTATTAAGTACCTAAACTATTGTAGGTTCTGTTTTAGATTCCAGTGAATAGAAGAGAAAAATAAAATAGAGGGCCGGGTGCAGTGGCTGGTGGTGAGGCCTCAACTTACCTCTCTGAGTCTTCATTTCCTTGCATGTGGGATGGGGCCGTGCTGTTAGCTTCCTACGATGACTGCCGAAAGGGTCACCCGAAACAGCCTGGGTCAAGGGCTCAGCCCAGCGCCTGGCGTGGAGCAGGCACTCAGGCAGGGATAGATTTAGTTATTGTTGTTGTTAACGTACCTCAGTTTCCTTCCATTGTCAATGAAGCTGATTGTCGTTTCCTTCCGGGCACCTCAGGATCCCTGGCTGCAGAACCTGGAGCTGGGGGATCTGTCCAGCCACCCTGTCACCTCCTTCCCCACCCGCCGGGGACTCTCGGGGCCCACGGCGACCTGACCTGCCACCAGGAGGCGGGGAGAGCAGACAGCACAAAATGCAAACAGAGCTTTTTCATCCCTGCATGGCGGCCACCTCCTCCGCATTGTCCCCGCCCACAGATGATGGAACTGGGGTGTCCTCGAGGATTCGGTTCCACAGACACCTACTGGTGCCAGGCTGTGCCGGGCCCTGGGGGAGCCAAGGGCCAGACGGACCGGGCCCCTCCCACAGGACTCACAGCTGCCCGGGAGAGACGAGGAGGAGAAAGGCAGCCTTGGAGCATTTCAGCGAAGTGCCCTGCCCAGCCCCTGCACGGCTCCTGGAGAATTTTCCAGCATCTTGGCCTGGCGGGCAGCTCTGCTCCATTCTTACAAAGGAGAAAGCGGAGGCCAGACAGGGGCGTTCCCCGGGCGGGAGTCACGGCTCCTTAGGGGTGGTGACAGTCTTCCTGCCCTGGCACCCGCCGGTGCCCCCTCTGGGAACACTCTTCCTCCGCAGCGTCGCCGCCGTGGCACTGCCGCGTCGCTTCCTCGGGGCCTTCCTGGCTGGGAGGGCGAGGCCCGCCGCCCCGAGGGTCTGCTCTTTCGTAACCTGCCGGCCGCTCCAAACCCCGTCCCTCAGCCCCTGAGCTTCGTGAGGGACGCAGGCTGTGCCGTCACGCCTGGCGAGGCGCCTGCCCAGTCAGGCTGCGGATGAGCCGCTGCCGGGCCCCTCGGGGAGACACCCACCCCTGCTCCAGGGACACACGAGGCCTCCCTCCCTGCCTCGCCCTCGGCTGCGGCTCTGTTGGAGGCTCGCGGGGCCACCGCGATGTTGAGCCCCTCTCTAGAACGCTGACACCCGAGGACAGGGATTTTGTCTGCTTCGTCCATCGCTGTGTCCCTAGCGCCTAGCACAGTGCCTGGCGCATGGCGGGTGTTTGATAGCCATCTCTGGAAGGAGGGAGGGAGGGAGGGAAGGAGAGAGGGAGGGAGGGGCTGCAATTCATTTGTTCAGCTTTTCATTTGTTCCTTCCGCCGATACGTACTGAGCACCAACTGTGGCCGGTTCTGGGGAGAGGATGGCCGTGACCTCAGACACGGTCCTGCCCGCAGGGCGCTGGCTTTCTGGACAGTGAAAACACACTAGCGACGTCTGGTGGCGCAAAGCGCTAGGAAGCGAGGCGGGGCGGGCGGGCGAGGGGCTGCAGGGAGGGACTGGGGCATCTCGGCCGCCCGGCAGGAGGGGCCAGCTGGCAGAGGCAGGGGCAGGCCCTGGGCTCCCCCGCCCCAGCTGGCAGATGTGCGGGGCTGTCGCAACTGCGGGCAGCCTGGGTTGCCAAACGCCACCACAGCTGCGTCACTGAGAGCCGGGAGGGCCCCGAGGCCAAGGGGGGCTGGGAGGGGCCCCACGCCCCGACTGGCCTCCGCCCTGACGCAGGCAGAGCTGGTCACATGGCTGCTTGCCGTTATGGACCATTTTGACTTGCAGAAAGAAATGCTAGTGAGCGTCAGTGCTCCCCCCTCTAGGAGAGAAGTGGCAGTGGCCGTGGGGACCACCGAGCATCCTCTGGACCGCAGCCCTTCCCCCACCTCCCCCCTCGTCCTGAACTTGGCATCCATGACCCTGTGTGTGGTTTCAGAGTGTCACTTTCCCAGGCCTACCTTTGTGTGTCCCCGGGCAAGTCACTTACCCGTTCTGAGCCTCAGTTTCCTCGTCTGTAAAATGGGGACAATCAGGGTCCTCATGTTGGAGGATTGCGTTGAGAACTAACAAGAGCCTCTGTGCAAAGCACTTAGCTGAGTGCCTGGCACACAGTGAGCACCACATCAATGTTAGCCATGGCCGTGATTGTCGTTGAACTCCCAGAACAGGAGGCAGACAGGCACCACTTGGTATCATCCTAGGCCGGGCGCGGTGGCTCACACCGGTAATCCTAGCACTCTGGGAGGCCAAGGTGGGAGGATCGCTTGAGCTCAGGAGCTCAAGACCAGCCTGGGCAAGAGCAAGACTCCATCTCTACCCAAAATAGAAAAACTTAGCCGGGCGTGGTGGCGCATGCCTGTAGTCCCAGCTACTCGGGAGGCTGAGGCAAGAGGATCGCTTGGCCAGGAGTTTGAGGTTGCTGTGAGCGAGGCTGACACCACGGCACTCTAGCCTGGGCAACAGAGCGAGACCCTGTCTAAAAA